GTTAGAGACACTGAGCGATTTAGCTGGGTGTCGCAGGCAGTGACACTCATGCATCTACTCATTATTCTTGTAACTTCAGTCTATGAAAATGTGCTACCTTTAGCTTAAATCTGCTCTCAACATTCTCATCATCATTCTGCTGTTTTATCCCAATGGGAAACCAAAAGACAGCAACCAAAGCAGGCGCACAAAAGTGAATGGTTGTTAGAACTGAACTGAACTGAACTGAACTGAACTGTAAAATTCAGAACACTTTCTTATGAGACTCGATGCACAACTAAATTGCGTTTTTACTAATAGACCGCAAGATTTCAAGGTCCATAAACGTGCTCCTCTGAGTAGCTCTGATCATTGTATCTCAAAATTATGTCCAACTGTATACAGAAAAGCTAACCGGTACAGGAGTATAAGAAGACAACTCAAGATAATGAGTCAAAAGGATTTGTTTATCGGAGAACCTAGAAAGGCTAAGATTGTCGCCACAGATTTTTCAGATTCTTCAGACCAGAACTTTCCGTCCACTGTGAACATTTTACTGACTACCTTAATTTTTACTTTAATCAGTGTTGTCTACTTCAAATAATCTTCATCTATGAAAATTGATATTCATCACCGTTACTAAAACAGCTACGCAAGCAGAATGAACAGGTTTATCAGCATGGACAGTGAACCTAGTTCAGGCGGCTTACGGTGCTAACCAAATCTGAAATAAATCGGTTAAATCAATTGCATATAGCTACTATCCGGGGAAACTTCAAATATCGTGGCATGCAGAGAGCTATCGAACACCTATGTGGTAGGACCAATAAGCACAAAAGGGAAACTGTCGATAGTGAAAGACTAAGTTTCGAGTTTAGTCCAGGTTCACAGTGCACAGCCCTTCCAGACTTGGTCAGCTGTACACCGCCACCAAATACCGAACCAGCCACGATCCTCTGACAGCTACGGAAAACAAAGATAAATAAAGCATCAGATCCGGATAAATTTTCACCCGTGGCACTCAACGTATGTGAGGACAATCTTTCAGTCCCACTGTCTCAAATATTTAATGGCTGTTTGACAAGCGGGGAAATACCTGACATTTAGAGATTGGCGATAACAGCCCCATTCCAAAAAGGAAACTGGGAAGTACCGTCCCATAGCCTGCACGTCAGTCAGGCACAAATAATTTGAGAGATGTTTATTATCTTCGGTTGTCACTGAATTTGCCGAAGAAAACATATGTGAATTTGCATATCGATCTTCGCGCTTAACACTTGTTGTCGTTGCTTACCTTGCTGATTTACAAAACTTCAGGTCGGGAAAATTCCGTGTACATTACTATGCCATCGAAGGGGTATACATCAGGTGGGTTCATGCGAAGAAGATTATCCGACGCAATCGACGAGACTTTCTATGAATCAATGATTGATGAGTCGTACACGTCCAAACCAGTTGTGTGTTTGAGATTGAAGGACAATGTTCCCAACTCTGCGGTCTCATTCTGTGTATACTCACTTACGTGTTCCTGTGGAAGAACGTACATAGGCCGCACGGTCAGGCGTTATCCGAACGGATTCGTGAACACCACTCTGCGAGTCTGAACACCGGAACGATTACGTCATTCACCAGCGTAGTGCATCTAGTTGAAAGAAATCATACTGTGAATGTGGCCGAGGCTTTCCGGTTCCGGTTTAAAGTTCGTTCGTTTAAAGTTCACTCTGATGTTTTGTTTGCATTGATGAGATCATCCAGAGAGCTCGCCTAAGCATGGGCCTAGCGGATAAGCACCTACCCGAGTTGCTGGGCAATCTGTTTTAATGTGGATTTTAGAAAAACACAATGATCGCTATGGCATGTAGTAGAAGTAGCAACAGCACTAATAGTATCTTAACCTGGTGCCGAGGTCGTGTGTCGCCGATCGTCAGTGCTACATCAAATATTTTTCTTTAACTTTGTGAAAACGTACAAACACCATGGTCTATTCCATGAATATTTTCATGTCGGTCTTACACATTGCAACTGCCCCCCCCCAACCACATTTTGATGTTCTGATTATTGAATAATTTGTGTGAAGAGGACCACATACACAGGTGGATGTGAATCCGTTGGAAATAAAGTGTTGGTCGTTAACCAGATAGTTCAGGAGTAAAGGTTTCAGAACCCAATTAGGCGGTAACCGATTCCAGCTCCGTCCGGAACACAAAATAAGACGTACTGGCGGAGACTCTTGAACAGCCCGAGAGCGGCTGTCACTGTGCTGTTTGTCAGTTAACTCAACAACTATTTGACAAATGGATAAATTTCTACCCATTCGACGATATATATCAGATAGAGTTAGTCATTGCTTTACGTGTGGAAATTAAAATCATCCGGCTTAAACTGACTTGCGTTTTACGCATGATTACGAGGAAAATGTGATGAATCTACGTATCAAGGGGTGAAGCATTTCCTTAATCCAGTAACTGTCTGAACTGTAAACTGATTGCCTATACGATAAGTAGCTCTTTTATCGGTTGGATCATGAATTGATATCCAACAGCCGTTCAGTCACTTTAAACTGGTTTCTTCCAGTTTTGCCACTATCAGGCGAAGTCTAACAAAAGGACCGACGGTGTGAGAGATCGTCAGATGCTGAGTGAGTATTAACCTGTGAAGAGTAAAGTAAAATACTCATGCGATCAATACGTAGCCCAACAGTAGGGATTTTGGATTCGAGTTCTCATGTCCGGGCTACAACTTCAGGCAAAGTTACAAAGTACCGAATTACTGAGAAATTAAAGCAAAGATAAAGCCGATATCGAGTGTTCCTTTAAAACCGTTCGACTCACCATTTCACCATTGGAAATTGGGTTTACAGAAATGGGGAAGTCCCCGGCGAAAATATCACAAATTTCCATAGTAAGGACATCCTAATAAGTGCTTTTCGGTCCTTTTCGACTCCCTCACTCACCCCTGTCCCGACATACTTCGTTCTTCACACATGTAGGTTTGATAAAAACCACGGAGGGTGAACCAATACTAACCGAGGAGGAATTCAATATGGCCAACCAGCTGCGTGATTTGCGATTGCAATATACCGACAAATGGACTGAGTGGCAGAAGCAACGGGATGTGGTTCACTATTGCAAACATGTACTCGAGTTGAGTCGTGCTCGACTTGTTCAGGGTAAGCCACTGATGAAACGGATTGTAAGGATTTGTAAGTTTCTTTTCGGCGCTTCATAAACTGACGAACTGCAGTGATCTTATGTGGGGAACAACAGTGGGTTGGTCGATGTGGCACGCTATAGAAAGGGATCAAAAAGTTCTAAGAAGGTGACAAATGGGATATTTGATATGTATTTTGTTTTTGATTCATTTGAAAATACCGACCGGATGGATATAACATCAGCGGATTGTGTGTGTGAATAGGTTTGGGGACCCTAGAGTTCTTACAAGCTATGTCACGTTGCCCAAAATATTTTGTGTACACATCTTGTAATCGCTTCATCTGTGACAAGGACTTGAAGTTTTTGGATAACTTTTGTTCGACGATATTACAGAGGATCGAGAGGCAGGTGGAAATCGGCTATATGTGACTAGATTTTCATCTCAGATCAGTAACTGTGGTCATCGTGAATCCTAGATTAAACCATTACTAGAGTGATTCTATTCAATGCGATCAAACAGACAACAAAATGCCTGACTTACATGGCTTTCTGCACGTGAGCAGACCACATTTCTTCGGTAATCTCCGAGAGGGAAACTGAAGAAAGTTGGTTTCTGCCGCAAATGATAGCCCAAATAGAGTTTGTCTAGTGAATAACAAATCGCAACAGTATTTTTGAAGGAACTGAACATACAAATAGTCTTCCTTGTCAAATGCATCGAATTCATTTGCCATGACCGACTCGTGATGTCCGATTCACATAAAAACTCATGCATCTGAGTCAATATTCGCTAAAATTGTTCAGATACAAGCTCCATGAATCTATTACTTAGGCAGAGATAGTAAATTATATTCCGATGTATCAGTGCAGCGCTTGTGGATAATGTGTCCTCTATCCTGTCTGGATTTGTCTGGTTTAGTACCTTTAAAAACTGATCTAAACTGAACTCTAGTGTTGAGTCAAAGAAGGTTCACCGCGGTTTATTTACGAAAGAACTCACAAACCCCGACTGCCAGGACTTCGTCAAACAATCTCACAGTAACTCCAGATGATGAGAACTAACCTCTAGAAGTACATCAGTCATGGACCATGTTTATGAAATTACTTCGTGTTAAGCTCTTGAATCACAAGAAAGGTGTGATTGTTTTCTTTAATTACAGGAATCATCGTGTAAAGCTAAACTTTGTTGGACTGGTAAATGGAGCGTATGTCTTGCATATGCCTCTGGAGTTGTCACTACGTGTGTTTAACTCGAACTCACTCCTGAAGATTTGAAGAGTGTAGTATTGATCCAGAGCACACAGTACCTTAGCGAACATTTCCCAATTGTTCATCACATGTGCCAGGTACATACATCGGTACAGTTGGACTCTGTAGTAAAAAAACAAAGCATGGAAGACATACAAAGTCAGTCTGGATAAGTTCAATGTGGATCTTGATTTTTGCATTAGGAAAAAAACGGCAGATACAGAAGGGAAACATGAATTTGAATCCAAAAAAAGCACAGAGAACGTTTATTGGATGTGAATTCCTCTGATACCGCCGCAACATATGGCTACCTGTGACGGATCGATTGTATGATGCAGCTGTCGGTGTTTGAACACCGCGATGGCTTGGACGTGTGTATATCGATGAAAGATGCTGAAATTCCACAAAGGTATGGGATAACTGATGAGAGGATATGGTCAAATGGGTCGGATTAGACCTACCGGTGGAAGATCACCTGAACAGCCTAATCGATAGAGACATGGATGATTGTGATTGTGTGATTGATTTATCTTTTCCAAAAGTCTTCTTTCATTTCCCTCAGTTACATGCAAGTCCTCGTTTTCATCTTGATAATTTGTATTCTAGGCAGTGCATCATATTTACAGGTATTAATGGAACGTGTGTGAAACCGTGACTTTCGACCGAACTCTTCCTCATAATGTCCACTGTTTTAAGCCTCACGCTCCGAACACTAGTACAAAGAATCACAAGAATTTAGTTGTAAAGACGAATGATGAGCATTGCACGAATGTGCTAATTCCATTTTCTCCATACTCAGTGCACTCTCCTTTATCCTTTGGCACTAATCTTCGAACCTAACCAATCCATGGAACAAATACATATATATATATATATATGTATATATATATATATTTATATATATATATAAAGTTCAGTCATTCATATACTACTCATTATAAAAACACTGAAAATCGTTCCTAGCGTCGAGTTGGTTCAGGTTAGACTCATTTAACCCACACCTAATACAAAATCAACACCAAACCTTGTTTGAATTGAGTCGAATGTTATACAGTAATGCGAAATGCTTTTCCGAGCTAGCATAAAAAATATAAGCTGCGCATGAATGATAACAAGCAACAGTCATGCTTAAAATTTTTTTTCCAGTCATTCATACAACCTATGTCTATTTTTAATCAGTGGCACTAGAATCTATCCCTAATACTATTTAGCAAATTCATTCTGAAATAGAAAAATGGTGTGCATCTCTGTAAAACTTTGTGTTTTAGTGTGTGCACCGATTAGTTCACCAAATGGGACAACCCACCTTTATTCTCTTTCTCTCCCGCTCCCGCCCTTTCCATCCTCATCAAGTTCAACCTATGTTTTGTTTCCCTCCCGTTCGCAGAATTCGATACATGGTATAATGGATGCTTTATCGATCAGCCCACGAATCAATCGATCGAGCGATTCGCAGGCATTAATCTTAGTTCGGACATGATCGATCTTGTGCCCACAATGCAACCGAATTCGTCCGGGGACGAACTGTGTACCGATCGGGNTGCTGTGGCCCAATTCCAGCTCACACAACGTTTTGTTTTTTCTAAACAGCCCGAGGCAGGTGTTTACGAGCGCGCGAAAGAATCGGTCATTCATAGGGTAAGCGAATTCGGTATTGTGTAGGTGAATAGGGACGCGCGTTTTAGTCCGATCGCTTGACGCATCGTCTCGTTTTTCTCATCAATTCAACTTTGAGTGTTGCACAGCAAAGACACAATGCCCACGTTCTCTAATAAGCTATGTTATTTGCTATAAATTGAGCATTAAAAGACTGTGAAGAACGCTTTGTTTTTCTCGAAATTTCTTTGCCCAGACTCGGCGAAGGGGGCTTCACATCCAGGCTGTTACAAGATTGAGTAACAGATCTTTCAGATCATCAGAAATAGAGGGATTGAGCGAGAGCGAGAGAGGGCGAGAAGAAAATTTGTGAACCCGATTTGTGGCCAACACAACGAAAGGTTCACTGAATATCCGTTTGATGATGCTGTATAAGATTGACGGTATACTTCGGAACTTTCACTCGTATGTCGATACAGCGTTCAAGTATATTCAACGTATCTGTTGCGGTTCGAATTTGGATACCAGATTAATCATTCAACGTGATATTCCGTCGGATCAGGTCGTAGCATCAGAAATTCTACTTACTTCAACAGACACATTTCAAACCGTCAAAAGTCAATCACATAGTTCAGAGTTTAAAGTTTTTTTGAGTGTGGGTAATTTAACAAGCCTAACGCTTCTCATCTCTCATAAGATTTCGGATTTTGGATAAATTTACAATAAGAAGATAATACTAACAATAATAATATGTATGATTGCCCACAAATATTGAAATGTCAAGTGTTACAGTGCTTTATCAAGCTGCGATTTGAATAATTCAACTGTAGAACCACACACAGTG